TTTTATACAGTTGTAAAATAATAATAATTACAGAGTTATAAAATAAACATCGCCACAGTTCCACAGAGAGGTGCAATTGAAGGTTTGATAGCGCTATTTTAGGATCTGAGTTGGTTGAAAGGATAGTGGTATCATCAGCGAATGTTGCCAGGAGGGTATCAGGATGGACTGGAATATCTGCGGTGAAAAGAATGTAAAGGATGGGACCCAAGACGTTGCCCTGCGGCACTCCCGCCTCAATTAAATGACAGTAGGAGAATTCAATACCACAGCGAACTTGAAATGAGCGGTCAGAAAGGTAGGATAGGATTATTTGATATAAGGACTGTGGTATATGGAATTTAAGCTTGAAGAGCAGTCCATCGTGCCATACCCGGTTAAAATTCTGTGCTATGTCCAGAAATGCACCCGAACAATATTACTTATTTTCTAGGGCTGAGCATTTATGGTAAACAACTCGGAGTCCTTGTTGGACGGTAGAATTTTGGGAACGAAATCCAAATTGATGGTTAGGAATTTTATGGGGTTCTATTATAGGTAGGATTCTTTTCAAACATATTTGATAGGACTGGGAGTAGGCTAATTGGTCTATAGGATGATGTATTGTTGTCAGGTTTGCCTGGTTTCAGGAAAAGGACGATGATTGAATGTTTCTATAGGGGAGGTATGTGGGTAGTTCTTAAGTTGCAATTATAAATATATGTAAGGAATATGATAACTTTGGGTGGAAGTTGTCGATCTGTGAGGTTAGGAGATCGTATCCAGAAGATTTACGAGGAGTGATATTGCGTTAAAGGTATTTGACCTTTGATGGATTAACTGCTTTAGGTAGTAAGGAGAGTGAAATCGGTGAAGAGACGAATTCTTCTACATTTGCGGTATCAGTTGGATGGCATTCAGGATGAAGAGTGAATGTACTTGAGGGGTGTCTGGCGAATTCATCAAACGCTGCCCAAGAGCCATCACCTCAACGGAGAGGATGTGAAATATGATGGGAGTCTTAGGATTTTTTAATGATCTTCCATAGAGAATTGCTGCCTGGGAGCCATCTCATCGACGAAGGGGTGGGAAATGTAATTGGATTTTAGGATTCTTTGGTGGTTTTCCAGGGGGAATTGTCGTTAACAGAGAGAGAAGTAAGGTAGGTATCAAAGGATTGGGATCTGAAGGTTAACGATTCTTACTTTAATAGTTTACAATAATAATTGTAGGAGCGGTGATCGATGGGATGTTTGGTACGTTGCCATAATAATCTGACACGTTGGGAATTGAGTAAAGATAGCAGTGTTCTACCATGATAATTCGTGTTTCTTGAACCCCATTCTTGATGCTTGTCGTTTAAGTCTGCACCCAGGATGAAGTGATGTCCAAAGGACTTAAGGAAAGAACTGAACTGGTCATTGGATATGGATTTGTTGGGAGGGCAATATGCTGATGCTAGGGTGACGGGAAAGGAGAAGGTTTTGATTACAATGGCGGTGGATTGTAGGAAATCTTGAGTATATTTAATGAGAGTAGGTGATGGGACTGGGATTGGTGTACAATAACTGCAGTACCGGCATGTGCTCTACCGTCAGGATGGTCAGTACGGTATGGAATGTACTGTGGAATTTTTATATGCTATTTTATGGTCAGTCGAGTTTCTGTAATTAGGGATACGTCAATGTTCTTGTCTAGTAGTAAAGCTGTTAGTTTGTTAACGTGTTTTCTGACACCATTCGCATTCCAAAGGAGAATAGATATGTGTTTGATGGGAGTCATTTAAGGATTTTTCACAGGAGGGATGAGGTGAGATACGAGATTTTTTAGGAGTGATATGAGTGGGGTAACCGTTGATTTAAATTCAATGAGGAATGATGACAACAAACTGGTCAGATCTGTGGCATTTGAGGGAGCAGAAATATGATGAATTTGTTGTTGAAAGTTAGGTATATTAGGATGAATAGGATTTTGAGGTTGGTCTTGAACCCCATTCTTGATGCTTGGCGTTTAAGTCTGCACCCAGGATGAAGTGATGTTCAAAGAAGTTAAGGAAAGAACTGAAATGGCCAATGGATATGGTCCTGTTAGGAGTGGATTGGTGTACAATTATAGCAGTACCGGCATGTGCTCTACCGCCAGAATGGTCAGTACAGTATGTTATGTACTGTGGAATATTTAAATGCTGTTTTATGGTCAGTCGAGTTTCTGTAATTATGGCTACGTCAATGTTCTTGTCTAGTAGTAAAGCTGTTAGTTCGTCAATGTGATTTCTAACAACATTCTCATTTCAAAGAAGAATGGATATGGGCTTTGGGATGAGACATTTAAGGATTTTTTAAAGGTGGAATGAGGTGAAATACGAGATTTGTGAGGAGTGATATAAGTGGAGTAACATGGGATTTGAAATCGGTGAGGAACGATGCTAAAAAACTGGTGATATCTGTGGCATTTGAAGGAGGAGGAATATGATAAATATGTTGTTAATGGTTAGGTATATTAGGATGAATATGATTTTGAGATTGGGGTTGAGGTTGTTGTTGCGGCAGGGCTTGACATTTATCGATTGAGTTCTTACCTCTAAATAGTTGAGAGAATGATACATTATTGTTTACAATTCTAGAAGGCTCTCTCTCTCTTCTTGGTTTTACTGCTTCATCTTGAATCCGAATTTTCTAGTGTCTGGTTTTGAGATCCTTGTAAATTTGGCATCCTTTGTAGTTGGCCGAGTGTCCCTCCAAGCATAGGGCACACTGCACACTGCAGAATCTTGTATCAGTTTGGTGCACTCCACAGATTTTAGCTGTTCGCCACACTTCACGCAACGTGGCAGATGGTGACAATATGTCTTCATGTGGCCGCATGCCTGACAATTATGGCACTACACGATTTCTCTCTTGGGGTATAGTTTCTCAGCTTTTACCATTGTGTAGTATATTCTTGTGTATCATAAATATATATATTTTTTTGCTACATGCTAATGGCTCCAAGTCTACGAAAAACAATGGTTGTGGGATTTTATTTCGTAATCCTGGCTGCTCCTTTAAAACGTTGGTTACCAGGCGTACATTGAAACCAAGCGTCGCAGATTCTTCTTTAATCACTTCAGTTGGGGTTGAGGAGGGTAAATTTCTTATCACCACTCGTAACGCTCTCTCCTGCCTCAGCTGGTACGTGTGAAAATTTGAGTTTGTTTCTGATAAGTACTTCACTATTTTTCGGTTTGCTTCAGCAGAATCTGGTGTAATTTTGGTGTCATTGGTGCTGTTAAGGCATGACTGCCAGAGAAGATTTTATTTAGTTAGGTGCAGAACAACTGGACTTTTGAGGAGGCCTTGGTTCTCTGGGCAGACTCCATTACTTCTTAGTCATTTTGAAGCACTTGGTAGGGGTTTGGAGTAAATAAAGGGGCTTTCTCGATCATTTCTTGCAACATACCTGGTTAGGGTTGAGTTTGTGGTTCTGTGAAAGTGTTCACTTTGGTCACTGGAGGTGTTTCTCGTAGGCAGCGACGAGTTGTTTGTTTTACTGGTGAACCAGGAAGTATATTAACGCCGTCTGACCGAGTCCTCTTGAGCACCTTACTGGCCATCACTTGGTGAAAATACAGCATATCATTTGAAAAAAATAATATAAATAAAAAATAAAATAAAAATATATCAAACAGTAAATATCAACTGCTCTGATGTACATTTGAACTGTATTAAGTGAATAATCAGAGATATTCCGCTGAAAAATAGGCAAATACTGAGAGACGAATTGAGAACACAACCTTCGCATCACTTAACATAAGTAAAATAATAATTAAAAACTATGTACGATAAAAAATAAAATAACCTAAAGATAAGTAAATAAAAAAAAATAAAAACACAGTCATACCTATATACATTTTATGGAAACTAAAAAAATCAAGTGTGTCAATACCTTTTTGACCCACTGTATATTTTACAGCTTACCAATTCGTTGTAAGAAAGCATTATAATTTTTTTTTTAACTTTAATTTTAAAAACTATATAAGAAAGCAAATTCCCGCCAATTGGTTAGAGGCCACTGATAAACTCCAAACAAGACTTTAAAAAAATACAAGACTGGAAACCCTAAGAAAAAACTAACCTCATATCTATAATAATATCTATAGCTCCTGTCGGTTCGTTCCGATTAACCTAGCAGTATAACATAATGATGGTTTCATACTCTCCCAAGGGAAATAAATATGTTGATTCTTCAATCAATATCTTTTGGAATAGAAAAAAAATCAATGATACTTTCATCAAAAAGGTTTTTTGGGGTGCTGAATTAAAATCGTTTTTTGTGCCATCGTATTTTGACTGGAATAATCTATAAGTCTAGTTTACATAATTAGAGTTTTTTTCATCTGAGTAATAATTATTTTATTTATTTATTTTTTTTTCGTTTGTATACTGCTTTTAATCTATGTAAAGAAATAATAAGCTTATAGGAAGAACCATGTTTACATGAATATATATGATATTTATATCAATTTCTAAAGTCAAGAAATAAAATAAGTTTGTTTAATTTTGATATTAGGATACATATTTGGATTTCTTTAAGTCTTATCATAATTAATAAAAAAAATAACCTTTGTATTTTATAAATGCATCCTTACAATATATATATTTTTTTTTTATTGTTGCAGAGTTCCTGTACCATCGATGTCACATACTTCCCATTTGACCAGCAGACGTGTATTATGAAATTTGGATCATGGACATTCAATGGCAATCAAGTGTCATTAGCCTTGTACAATAATAAAAATTTTGTAGACCTCTCTGATTATTGGAAGTCCGGTACCTGGGATATTATTGAAGTACCAGCATATTTGAATATTTATACAGGAAACCAGCCCACTGAGACAGATATTACATTTTACATTACTATCAGGAGAAAGACATTATTTTATACAGTCAATTTAATTCTTCCAACTGTCCTCATCTCATTCCTTTGTGTTCTTGTATTCTACTTACCAGCTGAAGCAGGAGAGAAAGTGACACTAGGCATAAGTATCCTCCTATCATTAGTTGTGTTTCTTTTATTAGTATCGAAAATATTACCTCCAACTTCACTTGTTTTGCCTTTGATAGCCAAATATTTACTGTTTACATTTATTATGAATACAGTAAGTATATTAGTAACTGTTATCATTATTAACTGGAATTTTCGAGGTCCCAGGACGCATAGGATGCCTCCTTGGATCAGAGCAGTTTTTCTCTATTATCTACCAATCTTCTTGTTTATGAAAAGACCAAAAAAGACGAGGCTAAGGTGGATGATGGAAATGCCTGGGATGACTGCACCTCCACACCCTTCATATGGTTCGCCGGCCGAGCTTCCAAAGCACATCGCACCCCCAGCACCAGGCAAGAGCAAGATGGAAATAGTTGAACTGTCAGATCTTCATCATCCTAACTGTAAGATCAATCGGAAAGCAAGTACGGAGCGAAGAGAGAGTGAGAGCTCTGACTCTCTTCTACTGTCGCCTGAAGCATCAAAGGCCACTGAGGCAGTGGAGTTTATTGCTGAACATTTGAGAAATGAAGATCAATACATTCAGGTATTTTACATTTGGAAATTAATTTCGTCTTATCATAACAATTTCCTTTTTCTTTATTTTCGCTTTACATTGGTATTACCAATATCACCTCCATTTTACATTGGCTCCGATTACATTTATTCGTTCATTCCTCAAACTTTAAATTTTACTTGTTGCATTTAGTTGTGTCCAAATATTTAAAGAAAAAATGGCATATTAACAGCATTTTTATTTAAGGTTCAAATATTTTATGACATTATGAAAGGGATGCACATCCGGGGGCTGTTGGAATATTAACCCACTTGGAATCCGGGTATTATATTTGTAAATTTAATCTGTTTCTATTCAAATAATTCCATGAAACGAATATTTTCTACTTTATGATAGTAGTAACCTAAACAATTTTAATCTATTATATTTGATTTTGTTTTTATTAATTGATGTTAATTTAATTACATGAAAATATTTTATATATTTTAATATATATAAATATTTTCTCTGCATTGTGTTCTTTAGGTTTATAATTTTTATTAGTATATTTATTTTCTATACTGTCCAATTCCACTTACGAAAACCACCTACCCGCAAATCACCTGGAGATGACCTCCTTACCTCTCAAATTCTTAGACAACTCCCTCCTAAAGCTGTCATATTCCTTACATAGATAGATAGAAGATAGAAAAAGAAACTTTATTCTGGGACTAAGTCCCTTCAGAATAACAATAATGTACAAAATAATAGAATATTACTGGCCTGAACGTTGAAACAATAAATAAAATTGATAAAATAAAATAAAAAGTAAAGAAATCTTAGGTGCACAAGCTATATACAATACAGATAAAACTATGTACAGAGCATTTAAAATTATGAATAAAACAATTAAAACTATGAACGAATCATTTGAACTATGAACAAAATTATATTTAAGGGTTGAACAACATAAACATACACTTTGAGAAATGAAGAACGAAAAAGAGATACAATGAGTTCATTTCATAAAAAAAAAAAAACTTTACTTGAATATATATATGAAAATAAACAGTTATTTATAATTGAATAAAAAAAAAAATACAAAAAAATTTATGTATTGAAATTCCTACGTCGATAGTAGGAAATGCATGTACTATCTCTTACCAAGTGTTATGATTACATGATTGCTACACAATACATGTATAATATTAATCGTTAGCTGGTATCTGACTGTTTTTGGAACAGGAATTGGAATAGGAGGTTTTTGAATGTGTACAGGGAAGGGGCATGTCGAATTTTGATCGGGAGGGAATTCCAAAAGTTGACAGAGCGGGCTATAAAGGAATTTTGGAATGACGCAGATCTATGAGAAGGGATGTATAGGTCGGAGGGTCGGGATCTTGTAGTGAGTGAATGGATTGAGGACTTAAATTGGAGAAGGTTGTAGGCATAAGAAGGACGATGATCGGTAATGATTTGATAAAGGAAAGTGCCAAGGAAATATTGTCTTCTTAAGGAGGGGAAGAGCCACCCTAAATCAGTGTAGTGGTGGGAGACACGGGAGCGTCTCGGGGTTCCGATTACAAATCTTACGAAGCAATTCATAAGTCTTTTGAGTCTATCACGCAGTTCCACCGAGAGGCCATCGTACACCACACAGCTGTAGTCAAAGTGGGGAAAGATGAGAGAGGAAACTAGGAGTCTACGGGTATTTTGGGGTAGAAGATGGCGGAAGTGATGGAATAGTTTGAGGGTAGAAATTGCACGGCGGGATATATGAGAGATATGGTGATTCCAGGAAAGGGTTTGATCTATGAGAAAGCCTAAATTTTTAACAAAGGGATAGAAGGTGATGGGGTGGTTGTTTAGATAGAGTGAGGGAAAGTTGGTGTGGGATCTAAGAAGGGGCTTGGAACCAATGAGAATGGCCTGAGTTTTGGCAGCATTTAGCCTTAATCCATTTAAGTTGGCCCAGGCATTAATTCGATCTAAATCTTCTTGAATTTTGGCAAATGCCACCAATAACTCAGCGGGAGAAAAGGATAAATAGATTTGAGAATCGTCGGCATAAAGGTGGTGGGAACAATGGATAATTGTATCATTTAGGTCATTAATATAAGAACTGAAAAGAAGAGGAGACATGCTTGAACCCTGTGCAACTCCTGAGGATAAAGGAAGGTAGGCAGATAGAGGTTGATTAGGTATGGAAACTGCTTGGGTTCGTTGTGAGAGGAAAGACTGGAACCAAGAGATGGAACTCTTGGAGAAGGATAATGATTTTAGTTTGTTGAAAAGGATGGAATGGATAATGGAATCGAAAGCTTTAGAGAAATCAAGAAGTATAAGTATGGTTAGTTTTTTGTCATCTATTGCAGTCTGGATATCACTAGTAATTTTAATCAGAGCAGATTGTGTAGAGTAGCCAGGACGGAAGCCAGATTGGAGAGGATCGAGTTGGTTGGATTGTTCAAGGAAATTGGAAACTTGGGATTGCACCAACTTTTCTAGGGGTTTAGAAAGATTGGAAAGGATTGATATTGGGCGGAAATCTTCGGGAGAGGATGGATTAGGCTTTTTGTTTAAAGGAAGGACAATGGCTTCTTTCCAAGAGGTCGGGAATATTGAATTCTGCAGGGAGAAATTGTAGATGAAAAGGAGTGCTGGGAGGATTTCAGGGAGACATAATTTTATTAGTTTGATAGGAATGCCATCTGGGCCTACGGAATTGGAACGGGATTTCATTATAACGGTAATAAGGTCTGTGGGAGAAATGTCGGAAAAATAAAAATTATTGTCGTTAAAAGGTACCTCTGGAGAAAAGCCGGAAGGGGATGGTAACGAAGAGGTGGAAACCGATATAAAGTGGGAGTTTAGGTCATCAGGTGATATTGGGAAAACTGAGGAAGGGGATCTAGAAGGTTCACAGAGGGAAAGCTTACGAAGTAGAAGCCATTTTGATTTGATATCAGGAGCTGAGGAAAGGGCTTCGTGAAAGTAGTTCGCTTTCGCTTGTCGGATCCTTGTCTGTGTCGTGTTGCGAAGCACTCTGAATATTTGATAATCATCTGCAAGCCTAGTCCGTCTGAAGCGTCTGCGTGCAGCGTCGCGTCTCATCTGCAGAACCTTAATTTCCTGACACATCCAAGGAGCAGGACGATGACGGAAAGTGGAGGTTTTGAGAGGAGCGTGGGTATTGAGTATATTGAGAAGATTGGTGGTGAGAATATCAACCATGGTGTCGACAGAGGAGCAATGATATATTCCATTTAAATCCAATGTTACTAGATCAGGTAATATTTTTTCTCGAGTAAGGGTATCCAGTTGGCGGAAAGTGATAGTTCGAGGATGGATTGGAGGAGTGCGGATATTATACGTTATTTGTATCAGATCATGAGATGAAAGAAAGGATACTGGCACTTGAGAGGCGGAGAGGAGGTTTTGTGCTGAGTCGATGATGTAGAAGTCTAGCCAAGTGTCAGATCTGCTGGTGTGGTGGGTGGAGGAAAAAGGAACGATGAATAGGTGAAGTGAGAATACTATAATATACAATAGCATCCTACGAACCACCCATTTTCCTCTTTTATGGAAACATTCTACTATTATCCTATTCCCAAAATCAGGCAAACCTCCTAACAGCTTAACTTCCTACAGATCCATAGCCTACTTCCGATCCTATCAAAAATCCTTGAAAAGATCCTCCTGAAAAGAATGGTCGATCATATTTCCGCAGCCCTGGAAAGCAAGCAATATTGCTCGGGTGCATTTCTGGACATAGCTCAAGCTTTTGACAGGGTATGGCACGCCCGGCTACTTTGCAAGCTTAGGAACCATCTTCCTCAGTCCTTATACCTTGTCTTCCGTTCCTACCTCTCAGATCGTACATTCCGAGTTCGCTGCGGTACTGAATTTTCGAATTGCTATCCAATTGAGGCAGGTGTTCCTCAAGGTAGCGTATGGGTACCGTCCTTTACATCCTCTTTACCGCCAATATCCCTGTCCATCCCGATACCTTTCTGGCAACATTTGCTGATGACACGGCCATTCTATCATCCGACTCCGATCCTGATATAGCATCCTTAAACCTTCAAAGACACCTCTCCCTCATTAAGCACTGGTGTAACAAATGGAGTATTAAAGTAAACGAATCCAAATACCAACACATCACCTTCACGCTCCTACGCAGTTTCTGTCCACCAGTACACTTTAATTTCATCCAGCTTCCTTTCTCAGACACAGTCCGGTCCCTTGGCTTTCTCTTAGACAGACGACTAACGTGGAACCCTCATACTAGACTTAAAAGACAGGAACTAAACCAACGATATGGCCAACTATACATACTACTAAACAGGAAATCTAAACTTTCGATTGAAAACAAGTTACTGATCTACAAGACAATACTGAAACCTATCTGTACTTAAGAACTTGAACTGTGGGAACAGCAAAATTTTCTAACATCAAACGCATCAAGTCCTTCCAATCCAAAGTCCTTCGGACAATAGTCGATGCTCCTTTTTATGTAACCAACAAAACCCTACACCATGACCTTAATATCCCATTTGTCCTAGACCTTATCTCAGCAAAATTCTCCAAATTACACCAGAACCTTAGCCATCATCCAAATCCCTTTGCACAATCTCTATTATGCATCGCCCATCCATATAATCCTCCAAGGAGGTTAAAAGTTTGTAAATATTGGAGTTCTGGCAATGGCCAGATTCTCCACTCACGACGTGAGTGTATGTGGCTTAAGCACTCTTTCTCAATCACCACTGGGTTTAGCCCCATTGACGCGGTTGAGAGAGAAGTACAGGGATCTCCTGGAGTCATCCTTTTCCCTCCACAGTTGGAGGGACAAGTCTGGTTTGGAGTTCTCTCGCCAGATTGTAAATATTGTATATAGGTATGTATGTATGTTCTTTTTATTCATTTATTTTTAGGTTATTTTATTTTTATTTATTGTATATATATTATTTTTCTGTATAATTTATTTTATTTATTGTACATAGTTGAGACAGATTGTAATATTTTTCAATAAATAAGCTAAAAAAAATATATTTTAAATAAATACAAAATGTAAAATAATAGAGCTATTTAAAAAAAAGACATACTTAATCCAAAATTAAAGAAGCATTTTCTTTCTTCGTATGTTAGTAAATATGACATTTTTATGTAAAATAATACCTATATCCTAGGAGTTCTGCGAATGCGGTAGATTGTATCAGTCGATCCGTACTTCAGCTCCTAAAAATATTCATTTTTCGTTGGAAAAATATTGTAAGTTTTAATTCCACTGCCTTTTAATTCAAAAGGCAGTGGATCACCTGATGCGAAGGTCGTGTTCTGAAATCTTATCTCAGTTTTTGCCTGTTTTCCAGCGGAATCTCTTTGATTATTTACTGAATACAGTTGAAGTGTCACCAGAGCAGTTGTTATTTACTGTTTGCTACATTTTTTTTTATTTTTTTTTTCTTTTATGATATGCGGCATTGTCAGCAAGTGATGTCCAGTAAGGTGCCCACTAAGAGGACTCGGTCAGACGGTGTTAATACCCCTCGTGATTCACCAGCGAAACAAAGAACTCGTCGCTGCCTGCGAGAAATAGCTCCAATAACCACAGTGAAAACTTCATTTCCAGAACCTTAGCCTCAACCAGGTACCTCTTCGCAAGAAATGGTTGAAGAATCTCCTTTCTTCACTCCAAACCCGTTCCAAGTGCTTAATAATGACAGAGAAGTAATAGAGTCAGCAGCAATACCCAGGGAACCAAGGCCTCCTCCGATATTTGTAAAAAATATCAAAAATTTCCAACTACTGTGTACGCAACTAAACGAAATCTGCTCCGGCAGTTATTCTTGCCTCAACAGGACCAACGACACAAAAATAACACCAGATACTGTAGAAAGCTACCAATTGTAAAGTACATGTCAGAAACGAATGCAAATTTCCACACGTACCAGCTGAAACAGGAGAGATCGCTACGAGTGGTGGTAAGAAATTTACACTCCTCAACCACAACTGAAGTGATAAAAGAAGAACTAGCGACGCTTGGTTTCAAAGTACGTCAGGTAACCAACGTTCTGAAGGAGAATAAGGAGCAGCCAGGAGTAAGTAATAAAGTTCCACTACCTTTATTTTTCGTGGATCTAGAGCCATCACCTGGTATTGAGAAAATATATGATATCAAGAGATTGTACTACACTATCGTGAAGATAGAGAAGCCATACCCCAAGAAGGAAATTGTGCAGTGCTACAATTGCCAGGCGTATGGCCACACGAAAACATATTGTCACCATCTGCCGCGTTGAGTGAAATGCGGTGAACAGCCCAAATCTGTGGAGTGCACCAAACCGATACAAGATCCTGCAGTGTGTGCACTATGCCAGGAGGGACACCCGGCCAACTACAAAGGCTGCAAATCGTATAAGAGCCTCAAACCCAGATACCAGAAAAACCGGATTCAAGATGAGACTACCAGACCAAGAAGAGAGCCATCAAGAATTGTTAATAATAATTTATCATACTCCGAACTACTTGGAGGTAAGAACCCAAATAATACATGTGAAACCCTGCCACAGCAACTACCTCAGCCCCAACCTCAATATTCTGTTCATCCTAACACACATAATCATCACACTCATAATATAAAAAAACAATTCTACAAATCTCGAAACAAAGAACAAACTTCCCAACCCGGAAGAGGACCTGCTAAAAAAGTGGACCCTAAAGTTTCCTTCTCTCAGTCACTTGGGGGTAGAGACCAGACTGATAAATGTGAAGCCCTGCAGCAACAGCGACCCCGATCCCAACGTCAACATCCTGTCCCTCCTAATAAACAAAACCCTCATCAACATCAAATTCCTCATATTCCTCCTCCTTCAAATGCAACAGATCTCACCAGTTTGTTAGCATCTTTTCTCACCGATTTTAAAACCCTAGTTACTCCACTCAAATCACTCCTTACAAATCTCGTATCTCACCTCATCCCTCCTTTAAAAAATCCTTAATGACTCACATCCCAAAACCCATGTCCATTCTCCTTTGGAATGCGAATGGTGTTAGAAATCACGTTGACGAACTAACAGCTTTACTACAAGACAAGAACATTGCCGTAGCCCTAATTACAGAAACTCGACTGACCATAAAACAGCATTTACAAATCCCATAGTATATAACATACCGTACTGACCATCCTGACGGTAGAGCACATGCCGGTACTGCTGTCCTTATACACCAATCTCTCTCTCATCACCTACTCCCAACACCAACCCACGATTTCCTACAATCCACTGCAATCATAATCAAAAGCTTCTCCTTTCCTATTACCGTTGCATCAGCGCATTTCCCTCCTAATCAACCCATCTCCAATGCCCAATTTAGTTCGGTCCTCGATTCCTTAGGATTTCATCCTGGGTGCAGACTTAAACTCAAAGCATCAACAGTGGAGTTCAAAAACCACGAACTCTCGTGGTAGAATATAGCTTTCTCCACTCAATTCCCAACGTTTCTGCCCCATTCCTCCTAACTTACCTACCTACTGGCCCACTGATCCTAACCGCAATCCTGATATCCTTGATTTCTTCATCCACAGTGGTTTAGGTCCCCTCAACTTGTCTTACCCGTCTTGATGAACTTTCCTCAGACCACAGTCCTTTAATACTCCAAGTATCACTAGCTCCTATTCCTAACCCTTTCCACCATTGTTCATCAAAGGTCCAGTCAACTGGAAACTCTTTCAGCAAATCCTTTCCGATCAAATTAACTTCAGAATAACCCTGAAAACCGCAGAAGACCTTGACAATGCCGTACATTCCTTTACCACCATGATTCAACAAGCAGTCTGGACTGCTTCCTCCTCAAATCCAAAAATCCTTTTAAAAAATAACTTACCTCAACATCTCCTCGACCTAATCCATATCAAACGCCGTGCCAGATCATGATGGTAACGCACTAGACATCCAGCCAATCGCCGTTCCTATAATTATTACTGTAAGCAACTGAAGCAGGAATTATCCTACTTCAGATCCCAATCCTTTAACTCCTACCTTACCTCTCTCTCCACTCATGAAAATTCTCTTTGGAATATCACCAAAAAAATCCTAAAATCCCACCATGTTTCCCATCCCCTCCGTCGAATTTATGGCTCCTAGGCGGCGTCAGATGAAGACAAAGCTGAGAAATTCGCCTAACACCTCTCCTGCACATTCACTCCTCATCCAGAATCCCATCCTACCCACACTGCAAAAGTAGAAGAATTCCTTTCTTCACCCACCCCACTCTCTTTACCACCAAAAGCAGTTGATCCTTCATAGGTCAAACATCATTTACAAAAAAACTCCCCGTAAATCTCCTGTATACGACCTACTAATCCCGCAGATCTTTCGGCAACATTCATCCAAAGCAATCATATTCCTCACTTATATATACAATTCTATCCTACGAACTACCCACTTTCCTCTCTTATGGAAACATTCTGTCATCATCCTTTTTCTGAAACCAAGTAAACCATCTAATAACACAACCTCCTATAGACCAATAAGCCTACTTCCCATCCTTTCAAAAATCTTTTAAAAGATTCTACTGAAACGTATCCTACCCATTATAGAATTTCAAAATCTTCCTACTCACCAATTCGAATTTCGTTCCCAACATACCACTGTCCAACAAGGTCTCCGAGTTGATCACCATATATCCTCAGCCCTAGAAAGCAAGCAATATTGCTCGGGTGCATTTCTGAACATAGCGCAAGCATTTGACCGGGTATGGCACACTGGATTGCTCTTCAAGCTTAAAACCTATCTACCTCAGTCCTTATATCTGGTACTTCGATCCTATCTCTCTGACCGCTCCTTTCAAGTCCGCTGTGGAACTGAATTTTTCCAAGTGTTATTCAATTCAGGCGGGAGTTCCTCAAGGGACTGTTTTGGGTCCTATCCTTTACATTCTATTTACCGCTGATATTCCTACTCATCCTGAAACCCTCCTGGCAACATTCGCTGATTACACGGCCATCCTATCTTCCAATTCAGATCCCAAAACAGCATCCTTTAATCTACAACGTCACCTCTGTCTTATTGAACACTGGTGTAATAAGTGTCGCATCCAAGTAAATGAATCTAAATCCAAAACTTCACCACCTTCACCCTTCGGCGCAAGTCGTGTCCACCAATTCATTTCAACTCTATACCAATTCCCCTCTCCGACACATTTTGGTACCTAGGCTTCCTTCTACACAAAAACTAACATGGAACCCACATACCAGACTTAAAAGACCACAGCTTAACCGATGATATGGCCAACTATATTGACTACTCAATAGAAAATCTCAACTTTCAGTTGAGAACAAACTATTAATCTACAAGACAATCCTGAAACCTATCTGGACCTACGGACTCGAACTGTGGGGGACAGCAAAACTTTCTAACATCAAACGCATTCAATCCTTCCAGTCTAAAGTTCTTCGAACAATAGTCGATGCTCCCTTTTATGTAACCAATAAAACCCTACACAATGACCTTAATATCCCATTTGTACCTGACCTAATCCCAGACAAATTTCACCAGAATCTCACTCATCATCCTAATCCTGTAGCACAGTCTCTATCTACCTCCAGTCCTCCCTACAATCCTCCTCGGTGGTTAAAACGACAGTGGTCCCGCGACCTTTTGTAAAAATGTATATATTGGAGTACTGGCACTGGCCAGATTCTTCACTCATGTCCTGAGCGTCTGTTGCTCTAGTGCCCTCCATCAGTCTCCACTGGCTTACTATACCAGTGACGCGGCTGGGAGAGAAGCACTGGGATCTCCTGGAGTCCTGCTTTGGCTTCCACAATTGGGGGACAAAGCTTGATTCGGAATCCCCTGGGCCAATGTAAATATTGTACATAGGTGTGAATGTGTTTTATTTATTTTGTTATTATTCGGCTAATCTGTTATTTTACTTATCTTGTATATTACTTTATCTTTTTATTTATTTATTTTTTTATTTGTGAGACCTGCAAATAAAGTTAAACGAAAATTTTGCTACAATGTTGTTTTGTTTTTCTATATCTTCGTTTTTTCTATGTATGTAATATATTTGTGTATTATTTACAGTAAGTGATTTTGAAATAAAGAATTTTAAAATAATCTTAATATCAATTTCGGTCTTTTTGTTTCAATTCTAGTCCTTAATTTTCATAAAATTTTATTCTATGATGCTAATCTTATTTATCTAGTCCCCCCACCATGCATTTCTGAGTAAGCAAACCTGGTCGTTTTATAGACCTTGACAATAGATATATTAAAGTACACGTGCCTACACATGTGCCTACTGTGCGCCCCCCTCCTCCCTCATACCTTTAAATTACATACCATTGTGCTCCTTGCAAACTATTTATTTTTAAAAAGCCAATGGGCACACAAAAAATATGGCCGCATAGAGCCGAAGTGGCGTCCAAACATGGTGAATTGAGGACTTTGAATTGAGTTAGTTTTTTGGCCACTCAGCTTCAGTATTTCGACTAATTTTGTCATAATTGGCCTTTCGTTGAAGCTAGATAGTCAGAAAATAATGAAAATTAAGCTAATGTAGCTTAATATATGTGCTAGTGGAAGGTGCTGAGACTGTCTGTGTGTCCCTGGCCTGATCGAAGCTTTATTTTTAAAACTTTGAAGAAAATCCCATCGTTAACTTATAAAAAGAAAAATACCAGGATCGAAACCTCAATAAACATAGATGAAATGAACATTCAGTAGTTTATTAAATAATTAATAAGTGATCTTATTCCCAATTAAATGGTTATGTTTATATATATATATATATATATATATATATATATATATATATATATATATATATATATATATATATATTTACAATAGAGGCAGTCATAAGCATCCTCAGTATGGAATAAAGGAAGTAAAGAAAAAAATAAAATATGATTCAGTAATACTTAGCTGAATATCTTTAATTTGAATAGCTTGCAATTTAACATTGTTTTGTATATTTATTGATTCATAGAAGTGCCTATAATTTTATGTAGTTAAAGGAAATTAATTATATTATTATCTGTTTGATAAACTAAAATGTATATCTAATCTGAATTATATATAATGAATAATTATAAGACTGTTTAGCAAAAACAATATATCAATAATCAAAAAATTAATTTATTTTTAAAAACTTTTCACTTCCTTTATTTTGTTATGAGGTTGAACCATATCCTAAATTTTAATTAATTTTTAACAATAAATGCTTTATTTTCTCTGCACAAAGAAAGATGGAAAGACTTAAGGAGGTCTGGCCCAATGTCTATAACCAATTAATTTATTTTAATTGGTTTCAGATTAGAGAGGACTGGAAGTATGTTGCAATGGTAATCGACAGATTGCAATTAGTGATGTTCTTCATTGTCACAACAGCTGGAACAATTGGAATTCTCATGGATGCACCTCATATCTTTGAATATGTAGATCAAGATAAAATTATTGAAATATATCGTGGAAAGTAAATGAAGTATGCATGTGTGTGTGTGTGTGTGTGTTTATAACAATAAAAACAGGTTTACATATTTATATATAATAAATAACCTGTTTACATTAAGGAATATTCAAATGATTATTGGCACAGTTATTGTATTAAAAGATCCTATGATGGTTATTAGTTTTAAGCTAAAAATCAAAGACTGTTTAACTGGTGACATAATTTAATTTTCAATTATCATGTCCACAACATAAAACTGCAGCACGGGCGGATCTACGGGGGGGTTTCGGGCTGAAGCCCCTCCCCTCCCCCAAAATGGTAAAATATAACCATGGTTTATCGAAAAAAATATTACAAAAGTATCTCTTAAATTATTGTTATTCGTGTAACTACATTTAAAAGGGCTTGAGGAATAACTTAAACACCATTTCATACCGGTAGTTAGTTTATTTCTTTTTTTCCTAAGTAATTATCGTTATTTTTATTTAAAAAAACTTTCGGGCTGAAGCCCCCCCCCCAAAAAATAAATCCTGGATCCGCTAGTGATCTGCAGCATTCTGAATTGATTAGTTCAATGACTCATGTAGAAATGTATGGGTGAAAAGCATCTGTTTATAACTTATTTTTAATATAAAGCTGTGTCAAGATATATCTACCAATATGATTTACTTATTTATTTATTTACTTACCCTCCTGGGGCACACCCAGCCTCTATAAAGTGGGTACCCTTAATTATATAATTAATTGAGGGGGAAAACCGGGAAAAACGGTTGAGCGTGGTCTCGGTCAAATCACATCCTTGCACAACCGTTGACCTATAAACAGTGCTTTCCCTAAATAGTTCTGAACCCAAGACATGGATTGTAGTGGTACAGGTTTTTTAAAATCAGATGTAAGGTTATACTTTTTGACACTATATGATATAAGAGATAGTTTTTCACATTTCTTATGTCCAATGCTTTTAATTTAAATAAAATAATAGCTCTTAAGTGTTATAACAAAATTAAATAATTTTTTTTTTTTTTGACAATTTGTACTTTAGTTGATTTCTAAGATTCTGATTTGATCGGTTAAAATTATACAGTCACCAATACAACTAATTTAACATGGTATAAGCGTAATGACTTGTTCAAAATTTTTCTCATGGAGGAACCATTTTAGAGATTAATATACACATTTCATTAGTCGATAAGTCTAAATTAAGTAAAAAAATAAGTAAATAAATTGTAATATACGGATTAAATATTAGATTTGAAGTTTAATAATTATATATTATAGAAAAGTAATGGATACGATATTTTTTTTTATTTAATAATTTATTATTGTTGATAACTTTAAAACAGAGGATATCACACTTCTATAATATAGAATTTTTTTACATTATTTTGTAACAAACTGTATTTCATCTTTAATATATTTTTGATGGATTAAAATAACAAAAGATACTCTTAGATTCAGAAATATCTTCTTACTTGTATTATTTATGATTTTTGTCATTTATTTGAAGAAAAAAAGAACTCTAGATCTATAACTTGAAAAATTGTTATGCTTTTATATCTTGCAACTAAGATTTTATGGAAAGATAAAAAAAATAATAATTTATGATTAAAACATTTATTAATCAAGCATATTTCTTATAAATTTTCGAAGGATTCATATCTATATATTTTTATTTACTTGATTTAAGTACTAATAAATGTTATTATAAAAAAATAATAATTGTTTTGTATACATCATTGTAAATACAAACGTATAAATTATTGTTATTGTTTTGTATAACTTTATATTAGTTAAAACTTTTTATTTTATTTGAAGTACAAGGCATTGCTTATGGGTTATACATTAAAATAAAACAGTGGCAAAAATAATTATGGGTTGATTATTTTAATGATTGATTGGTATGTAGTTTCTGTTATAATACATGTAAAAACAGTTTATAATTTAATAAAATTATGATTTTAAAAACAAATTAAAACTTAAAAATCAACTCATCATTAATATCTAGGAAATCATTAAATAAATTGAAATTTCAGAATACACCAGGTTAAAATAATCGTATAAATTATTTATAAAAAATAATTAAAAATAAAAGAGTTATAAAAAAATTGTTGGGAACATTTCTTTAGAATTAATATTGTGTGTTTATATGTAACCAACTTCAATTTTTTAGTATAATTACTTTTTTATTTAGGTATTCTCAATTTTTTTTTTTAACTACTCCTTTTAATCTCATTTCTTTTTAATGGACCCTCTGCTTTATCAATGAAAAGTAACTATTTAAACATTTTGTCTATTCATATTAAACAGAACTGATGTTATGAACTAAGCTCAACCCCCTGGCAAAATAATTCAGCAATCTTCCTCCCACTCATATTTCATGTGTTTTATTTGTGCCAATAATATTAATGTGTGAATTAAAGTTTCACAAAAACAAAACTTATTACTACATTATAACAACAAACGTTAATACTTGATACTGTTAGTGTAATTTATTAATATTAATTCTAGTAACTGGTTCATAATTACACTTGTGGGGCTTGTACTATTTTCACTACATTATTCAAAATACTGTTTTTTTCTTCTTTTCTGAAAAGAATGAATTTAATTAACTTAATTAACAAAACTTTTTTCTTTATGCTATAAACAGCATATATTTTTATAAATTAAGCTAAACTGTCAAAATACAAGATAAAAGTAAGTGATATTATTTATTATAGAGTGACACTAATTTTCATATGTCTATATGTCTTTAAAAACTTTTAACCGTATTATTATTATTATTATTATTAGCGTGGCTCTACAATTCGGTGTCAAATCCTGGCCTCCTCCAGCAGCTTCCGCCAATTGTCTTGGTCCTTTGCAGCCGCCATCCAATTCCGAAGCCCCCGCCTATTTGTTGCATCAGCAGCAACACCAGCCCATCGCAGCTTTGGTCTTCCTCTTCTCCTGGTACCATGAAGTGGCTCCATCAGTAATTGTCTCGGTGGATCCTCGCATCCCATCCTAACAACGTGTCTTGCCCATCTCAGTCTTGCAATTTTCATCACTTGAACTATATCGGACTTCTTAAACATGGTATACAGCTCCTGGTTTTTCCTCCTTTTCCAATCTCCTCCGATGAGAACATCACCATATATGCGTCTGAGGATTCTTCTTTCAAAGACTGGAAGTTCCTGTTCACAAGACTGGGAGGTAGTCCAAGTCTCACAACCATACACCAAGACTGGACACACTATCTTCTTATTAAGACAAAGCCTCGATTTTCTGGAAAGAGCTCTACTCCGGAACTGCCTTGCCAAAGAAAAATAGCATCGATTTGCAGCTATGATCCTACGCTGAATCTCTTGTTCAGGTGCGTTGTGATGAGTTACCAATGATCCAAGATATACAAAAACATTATTCTTCTCGAATTGGTAATCCCCGAAAGTCTCCTCCTTTCCAGGCCTAGGCATCTGTCCCGTAACCATATATTTTGTTTTCTCAGCATTGACATCCAAGCCAAGTCTTCTCACAGGACCCACCAGAGCAAGGAAAGCGTCCGATACAACCTGGAAGGAACGTCCTATGATATCTATATCATCCGCGTATGCTAGGAGCTGTACAGAGCTATTAAAGATGTTGCCATTGGTCTGTATCCCAGCATCTCTCACTGCTTTCTCGAGTGTAAGATCAAAGAGAAGGTAGGCCAAGGCATCTCCCTGGCGTAATCCCTTTATTGTGGGGAATTCCTCCAATCTCTTTCCACCGATCTGAACCATGCAGCTTACGTTGTTCATTGTAAACCTCATGAGGCTTATGAGCTCGCTAGGGATCTTAGAATGCTTTAGAGCCTCATACAATTTTTTCCCTATTCACGCTATCGTAAGCTGCTCTAAAATCGATGAAGAGGTGGTGAATTTTTATCTTGAATTCCTTGAAATCCCTTCCTCGCTTGAGAACCATAATGAGGCCAAATATCTGATCAGTCATGGACCTGCCTTTTCTGAATTCGCACTGGTATCGGCCGAGCACCCTCCGCATGGGCTAGCTAACGCTTGAAGAGGATGTTTCGTAGGACTTTGTATCCGCCAGATAGGAGGGAGATTCCTCTGTTCCTTTCTTCACTTTAGTCGACCCCTCCCCTTCTTAAATATAGGACAGATGAGTGACTTGGTCCATGGGTCCGGTCAAACTTCATCTGTCAAAACGGTGATGAGGAGATCCTGCATATGCTTCACCAGTCCGTTTCCACCGTACGAGTCCATCAGCACTCGGAGCCTTGTTACATTTTAATTGGCTGATGGCATGGATCTCATCTTCATCTGTTTCTTTCTCCCTGTGGTCCTCATCGCGTTCCAAGGATCGCTCATTGAGGATATCATTGAAGTTACGCCTCCACTGGGACAGGGCCCTCTGCTTGTCGAAAAGCAGATTCCCTTCATGGTCGTTGCAGATGTAAGAGACATTGGAGTAGGATTTTTTTCCTGTTTATTTTCCTATAAAAATATAGGAATTCCTTATCTCCGAAAAATGTTTCCGTCTTCTCCAGTTGATCTTGCTCCCACTTTCTTTTCCTTCTACGATGCAAACGTTTCTTCTCGCGTTTCCTCACTCGATATTCATCGACGTTTCTCCTTGTGGATTTATTAACCATGCCCTTGTATGCTTGGTTCTTCTGATTTGTAGCAGCTTCGCATTCCTCGTTAAACTAGCGGGATCGGATTTCACTGTCCTGCCACCCTAAGATATTTTCTGCAATCTTCTCCATTGCCTGAGTACAGACTTTCCACCTAAGGTTAGTGTCACCATTAGTTCTTTGAGCGCGGAGGTCTTCATCCAGCTGTTCCATATTGTGTCCTAGTGTCAGTGACCTTCAATTTGACCAGGTTGAACCTCTTACCTCTTTGTCCAAGATTCCACCGTTCTGTTTTTATCTTGGCCGTCAGGTGAGCGACACTGAGATAGTGGTCAGAATCTACGTTCACTCCACGATACGACCTTACATCTTGTAGAGTGGATCAATGTCTGGCATCCACTAGGAAGTGGTCA